ATATTGAGACCTATTTTTGGCATAGAAAGTGATCCAATTGGAGAATGATGTCCGAATCAAAGTTGTAGTCAGATGAGTTAGCTTTCTAACGCATTTTGAATCACTTCAATCGGATATCGAAATACAAAGTTATGATAAAAACACTGAAAGAAGGTGCATCTACCCGTTTAAAATAAGAAATTCCGTTAAATAGTCCGTTAAAACAACAAATTCCGTTAGTTTTTCCGTTAAAAACAAGAAATTCCGTTACATAGCCACTTTTAATATATAGAAAATATATATATATATATAGTACCGAATTAAGAAAATAAACCTTCTACGCGTTTTGTTTATCCATCGTCAACTTTCGCTCGTCATAGTCAACCTTATCTAGTCCAATTTCCAACAAAAGAGCTTTTCTTGCATCCCTTATTATTTTAAAGCTGCTTTTTATTTCCTATTTTTGTAATATTTTTAACTCATCAAAGTTTTTTTTAAATAAAATGTTACCAAATATATTTAAATAAATTGTTTTTCTATTACTTTTAAATAAAAAGTTAACTCTTTTCGAAAGTATCATTCTCTTCATTGACAAAATAATTAATTAATTACTTTTAAAAAAATATTTAACCTTTTTTAGTGAATTTACTTCAAATGTAAAACTTACCAGACATGCTCTTTAGGTTATAAAAATAAAGAAATGGCAGAAATATTCTGAAAGGGCAAACTATTTCATTGGTGGAGACAATTGGGGGTAACTTAGACAGAAAGTAGGGAAGAAAATAATTCAAAATATGCGACGTGTTGCCTAAATAGAGACACATGTTTAATTTAATCTTATCTTAAGATTAATTACATATTCAAATAGTCAATAAAATTGACTTCTCTCTATGTTAGGTACAATCAAACATAAAGTCGAGGGACCAGCAAAAAATAAACTTTCTGACTTCTATATCTCAAATTTGTGCAAACTATCCGCGATTTTTTTTTTGAAATAATATATTGACTAATGTCACGGGATATTGAACAAGACAATATCAATTAAGTTTAAAATGAATTAATACAAAATAATACTTAAAAAGTTTAGTACTCTAATCGGACGTGTGTCAGCGATGACATTGAACCCCGAGCTTAGTGGAGCTCCGAAAATAAAAGATTGTGCCTTATATGCATATACAAGAGTTATGCAAATTATTATCGAAGTTTATTTCATGTGGAAACAAAGTAAATTGATTTGTCCATGATATTAGCAATATTTGGATATTCGAATTTATTGTTGTTGTAACCACTTATCTGGATTTCATCCTTCTCTGTTTTTTGTATTTTAGTTTAGCCTTTTATTTAGGCTTGCGACTGGGCAAGTCGGTTTGTATTTTTGCTGTATATATTTGACTGATATCATTCAATAAAAGTGATAAGAAATTTCCATCTTCTCATCCTCTTATGGTATCAGAGCAATTAGTCTGATTTTTTTTCTTTCTCAATCACTTGCAGTCCCAGTAGCCATCAAGGATTAACCTTCCTAAACCACCTCTTCCTCCAACTGATCTTTGATCCTGGACTTTAGGAATTAAAGGTGCCTCCTTTAGCTCGTGCACTATTGCAGACCGTACTGTTCCTGCTGCCTGAAAACTTTGGAGTTGCTGCTCTTCTTCATCAGCCATTTGGCGTTCATATTCTCTCTTTGACATCTCTAGTTGCTACTCCAAATCGTTTCCGTAACCTAGCAAGTAGCAAGTGTCTTTTTCTTTCAAAACCAAAGTATCACCAAGTTTTGAAAACCTCATTTTGTTTCTTTTATCCAACTCCTGCAAAGGCCGTCCACTATGACTACAAACAACTCTCCCACTCTTCCCAATCAATACATTAATTTTTCTGACACCTTTCAAAGTGATTATTCTCCTCCCAAAAATATCACTTGTACCGTCATTAGAGAGCTGTAAATTTTACAGCCCTCTCTAATTAGTGTGGGCCCCAAGTAAATCTACATGTACATAATTTTATCAACTGCAGTACATGTAAAGTGTTCAGAGGGCTGTAAAATTTTACAGCCCTCTCTAATTA